GGTGAGGTCACCGCCCTCAGACCCGCACCCGCGGCCGGCGGCCCCGGGGGGGAGGGGGGCGTTAAAGGGCCAGAGCAGAGAACGCGGCCGCCCCCCCCCCGCGCTGCGGTCTGTGACGTTACAAGAGCTGCGGAGCTATTTTACCCTGACGATGTTAACCCCGTCGCAGTCGATGCCTTGACCCGCGTGTGCAGCGGGCTGGGCCTCCTGGTCACACACAGGAGCTCCCTGGATAGGTGGCAAGTTGTAAAAGCACAGAATTTGTCAAATTTACAAAACAAGTTCGTAAATCGCCTTTTACACCGGCCTGGTTTGCTCGGGCTTTGTGTCAGTGCCGCGCTTCCAGCCTCACCTAGGTCACAAGGATGGGAACGCCTACAGTAGCTACGCGCCCCTGCCTCGGCACCTCGTCTGGCCCTGCCCAAAGTCTGCCCAAATGAAGGGAAAAAAACACCCCTAGTTTCTGTCCCTGCTTTTTCTAGACGTCTGGTTTGCTCTATCAGTGGAAGCACTGCAATGAAGAGTCTTGGACAAACAGGTCTGTGAGGCTTCGCTTTCTTAAGAATGCAAGATTTAGAAAGTTCCAAATAAAAGAGGTCTTTGAAATTCAGGCTGGCAGGTGATGTCGTGCTCCAGCTCCGCTGCCTGCTTCTGACACGCCACCCTGCTCAGCTTCTGTAATTTTTTAAGAAGACGGTACCTATCCCTTACAAAAGCTGAGGTTTAACCCAAGGTAATTCACTTTTTCTGAGATTACAATTATTATTCTTACTAGCATGGTTTTAAAGTCAGTAATTCAGCCCTCAAAATCATGGAATCGGTACCCAAAGTAATAAAATTTTAATTTAAGATGATGCCATGTTCCTTGGCTGCTGCTTCAGCTTTTAACTTCCTTTACATGCTTTTCTTCTAGGCATGTGACTGTTAATGTTGGCTGCTCTCTCAAACTTAAACTGTATTGCTATACGTGTGACAGAAGTACATAATGCATGTAAGTACAGCGTTTGTAAATAATGCTTTGGAAGCGCTCATAGCGAAGCCTTGTGAAAAAAATGAGAAAACCAAGTGCGAAATTCCAACAAATCGCTAACACTTTAAATGTCCAAGGAACATTATTTCCAAAGGGAAATTAAACACAGCCTCTTCATTAAAAAAAAAAATACACAAGTGTTTATTTTTTCTTTATTAAATATTGCATTTCCCTCCTTTTTGGCATCTGTGTGTGTTTGTTTGTTTTTTCTTTTTCCTGCAGTAGGTGCTTCAAGTCGATGAGACTTTGGCGTGCACTTTATGCTCTGCCATGATAGCTCCCGGACTTTGTGTATGTCAAGTATGGTGCCCCGTCTGTCTTAAGTAAAAACTTAACTGTTCCTACATGTCACCTCAGGCATAGCTGGCAACTCGGTCTCAGTTCAGATCATGCTTTTTGCACCTGGAAGCAGCAACAAGAAATAGTTTACTTTCCTGTATTGGTGCTGTTGGCACATTTATACAGGTAGTTTCAAGTCAGTGATCAGCCTGTCTTTGTTTACCTCCGTCTTCTCTACCGGCATTTCAGCCTCTGGGTGGAAGAGCAGGAACGTGACGGCCAAGCTGGGAGCTGGTGAAGGAGGGCGATCTGAGGCGTGCAGAGGGCAGAACAGGGATCGGGTGGGCATCGGGTCTAGCGCGAAGGGAAGGAAGCCCAAGGCAGGCCAACTGTGCCGGGGCATTCGCTGAGGTGGATGTGAAACAGCCCCGGCAGGGCCTGCAGGGCTCCTCCTGCACCTCTGCGTGATGGCCTTCAATTACTCCATCACGGGACTGTTTACCGCAGGGGCTTTAACGTTCTCGACCCCTTCAGCCCAGTACACACGCAGCGTTAACGAAACCGACAGGAAACGACAAGGTTTCCCTCAGGACCGTAGCGTTATCCTCCCGCGCATTATCCCCCTCAGGCCGTGGGTTTGGCTGCGGGTGGGGGGTGTTTACGTTTTTACTCTTCCTTTGCGGGTTTTAAATGCGTGGCTTGTGGAAGGAAGTGACTTCATCGCCTGTTCCAGCTCTCCGTGCCACGTACGCGGCGGCGCTCCCC